CGATTTTTTGCAGATTTCTGACTTTGGACTTGCAAAGTGCAATGGCTTGTCCCATTCCCATGACATCAGCATGGACGGCTTGTGTGGCACAATTGCATACCTTCCTCCAGAGCGCATCAAAGAGAAAAACAGGTGTTTTGACACCAAACATGATGTGTACAGGTCAGTTAACTATGAAAACACTTTAAAGCACTTTAAGTAATACTGTAAAACAAGCCCTCTTTTTCTGACTATAAAACCTAACTGAGCGTGAAACCCCTAAATCTAGTTTGAGCCTCATCTTGCAAAGGGTCACGTTTGCTTTGCTTTTTGCAGAGTCTTTATAGGGTAAAGGCCTCTTAACAAACTGCAGCTGATCCTGGGTCTTGAGGGTTATCATGCCAAGTAACTCTTATTTATTAGCAGCTGGCATGGGAGGCACTCTGCCCACCTTTAATTTCCCCATCAAAAGGTACATCCTGACCTACTTTTCGAGTCTGTGACAAAATTCTTAGTTATCTTCAGTGGATTTCATCACTAGGTCTTTGGTTCTTCTTTCACGGTAAGGTTATTAGGAAAAGGAAATCATAGCTGTAGATTAAAAGACATGTCATATTCTAAATGGAATGTATTTCTTTAAAGTCATCTTGCAGGGCAGAAGTATTAAATAAAATCCACAGTAATGCTTTGCTGCTCTCTGATTTTGTCAGTGTTAATGTGGAGTAGTTGGTAGATGTTACCAAGAACTCAGCAGCCTCCAGCAAGTCCCTCTGTTTGCTGCCTCAGGTTCCTCCCTGCAAAAACTAGACTTTCAAATCATGGTTCTTGGCTGCATCTTGCTGTGCGTGTTCATCAGCTGAATTAGATGCAGAAGTGAAGGACAAGGAAAGAGAACTTAAGAAAATAAATTATACTTCTGTGAGTTTTTTGGCTTTTTTGTTGGTGTTTTTTTTTAAGCTTTCCTAGAAATAAGTTTTTTGCATTTATTTGTAGCTTTTCCATCGTGGTTTGGGGAGTTCTTACACAGAAGAAGCCTTTTGCAGGTAAGTTTGATGTACTGTGGGTTGTCTTGGAATTTTTTTCCTTTCTCCCATTGATAAGCATGCTTCCTGCCCCACCAGCCCCAGATTACATGCATGTCCTCCAAATTCTTACAGTCTTGTGTGGTAGACGCTTTTAAGCTCTCAAATTCTGATCACAAATGTAAGTCCTCCTTTGTCCTACATCATGAAAGCAGAACCCATATTGCCGCAGAGGGCCCTAGTCTGCACCTTTTCGCTTCTGCTGGAGTTTGCTGTACAGATCCAGATTAGTGTGTGGCCTGCGCAGACTTCTGACATGTTTACGGCCAACGAGGAACAGTGCAGAGCAAAGCCAACTGGCAGGCAACTGTGCTGTTTTCAGAAACAGCTCCTCTGTAGAGAGGTTCTGTAGTTTATTTGTAGATGGTGGGTACAGATTTGTTCTTATAAAAAAAAAGCTGTCTGTGAGAATAAGCCTTGTTCCACCCCACAGTAAATGTACCAATCAACAGGCAGCTATTTATTCTTTATGACTTTTCCTGTGTGTATGACTAGCCTCTGTATAGCAAACATGTTTGAACAGGTTCCACTCTACTATTAATTTTTCTCCAAGTGAGAGATCCCATTCAGCCCAATGGTTGACTTCAGAGTCAAGAGCCACGTTACTGCACTGCTTGGTTTGTGTTCTTCCTTCACCTTTATGAAAAGTTCAGGTACCTGGTCTAAATAAAAGCTGTGGTTTGGTTTTCTTACAGCAGATACGGAAATCCAAAGAGAGGTAGCAAAGAACTCGTAGAGTTTTTTTCTTTGGTTCTGTGTCTTTTATGGGTGGAAAAAGAACACAGTCAGTCACTGACGATTGTTTTTAACTGATACATGGGAAGTAGGTGTTACTGCATTGACGAATGTGTTGTGGGAGAATAAGACCAACTTCTTTTTCCCTGTTGATAAAAGAAAGCACTCTAAATCTAGAAAAAATGCAAACATTTTTTGAAATGAAAACAAAGTTTCAGCCTAATACACTGTTAATGCTCTTAGACAAAAGAGAAATCATTCCTTTTGCTAGGAGATCTTAATTTGTGTGCCTTTGCTTTACAGAGGAAAACAACATTTTACATATTATGGTAAAAGTAGTTAAAGGCCACCGCCCAGAGCTACCTGCTGTTTCCAAATCCAGACCTCACTCATGTAATAACTTGATCAAACTGATGCAAAAATGTTGGCAAGATGATCCTGGTGAACGGCCAACATTTCAAGGTAAGATTTCCTCGTAACTTGGCTGCCCATTTATTCTTCTATGAGTCACGTTATTGCTCAGGTCTCTGTTAATCCTCAGGGTAAATGCTCTGAACCTCTGTGACAGAATAAATAGAGCACATTGTATGGTGGAGACAATGATACAGGCCACTTATTCATTTGTGGAGGAAGGGATTATCTGGGGACAAGTCTGACCATGACAGTGTTATGTAAACATGTCAGGAATAAGACCTGTACTGAACCAGTTGATGCATTTAGCCAGAAATTATGTGCATTTCTGATTGCATGTATCAGGGCATATGCCAAGCTGGAGTTGGTGTGATTTTCAGCATACCAAAGCGTTGAAGGCCCTGGCTCTTGAAATTTACTCTTGTATGCTGAGAAACGGAATTGTTTTCTTGTAACAAAACAATTTGTACCGTCATTTTTCTGCCAATAAAAGGCAACTCTGGTGAAAGGTTTGAACTTGCCCAAAGCACCTGTTACGAATTCAGATGTGCAGAAGGATGTAGCAAGTGCTATCTCCAGGTAGCTTCATTTAGCATTAATGGGAGAGATTTGCCTCTTCCCTCTCCTCCTGCCCAAACAAGGTATGGGGACTGAAGGGAAGAGGGATCCCATCTCTTTAAAAACATATGTCTAAATCTGCCAGCAGTAGACTGGTTCCCATTTCACAGTCCTGCAGTGTAGCTCCCATGTAACATCAGTCTGGTCTGAATGTGAAAATGAATTGTTCAGTCAGCCCTATGCGCCCTTTGCTTAGCTACACATGTACCTACTGATGAGGTGGTAGATGGAATAGTCAAAACCGGAGTCTTTCTCCCACAGTATCTCAAAGCTGTTAAGCTCTAATGACAGTGAAAGGCAGCAGGGCATCTCAGAAAAGTCTCCTATTAAAAAAAACCCAAAACTTTCTCTTGCTTTCTTCAAAGAAATCACTTCAGAAACAGAGGCCCTTTGTGAAAAACCAGAAGATGAAACAAAAGACATGATAGCTCAGGACCTGGACACCAAGAATTCCCCAGAGCAGCAGCCTGAGGTATTTTCTCTTTCCGCCTCTTGTTCAAGCGCACTAGGTTTTGCGAGGAATGGGTTCCTCTGTGACCTGTAACTTCCCAAGCAACCTTCTCTTTGCTGCTTTTGAGCACCTTCTTTCCTGATAGAAGTGGGTCTTGGTGAGGGGCTGGAATGCAAAAGTGACAGCAGATGCATGGACCAGCTCAGGAAAACGTCAGCGCAGGACTAAGTGCAAGTGGATCTTAAACTGTTGAGGGAGAGCAGGACAATTAGGAAATAAAGGCTGTGGAACTATGTGGGTGTGACTGATCTTAAAAAACGCTGTAGACAGAAGAGCCATGTGGCTTTAGTGGCTGTGTGAGTACTGATGAAAGCTGCCCTCCTGCATCTGAAAATTTTCAGTGACCGTATTCATAGGTTTCATTTAATACGAACAGTGCTTAAAGGCTACCTGCAAACTAACAAACTTACGTTTCTTCCTGCAGGGCCTCGTGCTCAGTTTTCTTTACTGACCTTTCTAAAATGCTTGTGTGCTTCTCTTGAAGGGGATGTCTGCATTATCCCAGCCAAAACAGGAGCCTGCTCTACCATCAGTTAAGGATTACAGTCTCTCAGAGTTGTTGTCCCAGCTGGATTCGGGGATTTCACAGACTATGGAAGGTCCCGAGGATCTCAGCCGCAGCTCTTCTGAGTCCAAACTTGCCTCCAGTGACAAGCGGCTTTCAGGGGTTTCATCTGTAGATTCAGCTTTTTCATCCAGAGGCTCCCTTTCCCTTTCCTTTGAAAGGGAGAGTTCAGGTAATGGTCAGGTTTTTCTTTGTTGTTGTTTTTTTGTAGTTGTTTGGACTGGGGCATGGGAGTCAATGGGTTGGAGAGTCGTCCTATAAAGACTAGCATTCTGGAAATCACTGTTAGCCTTGCTTTCTCTTGCTGTTAGCACTACAAATTTGTTTACTGGAGGTAGTTATTTAAAAAAAAAAATTAAAAAAAATGAGGTGGTTCCCAAACATGATCTAGTGAGAAATAATAAATCTCACGTACTTTTGAAAAGAAGTGACCTGAATTCTCACCAAAGCAATTACAGAATCAGTCATGTAAAGCTTGGTTGGAAGGGAGGTCACCTAGTCCAGCGTCTAGCTCAAAGCGGGACTAAAGCCAATGCCCCGTCAGGTCAGCTGAGTTTGTGGCTTTTTCAGTTACACTAAGCCCAAGTCTGAGCACCATTTTTTGTTGTTTTGTGTTTTGTTTTGTTTTTTTACTCAAGCCACCTTCTCAGCAGCCCCCATGACCATTGTAATAAAGACCCCCGCTGTTGCGCATGCACCCCTCCCTTTTCAGTCCAGTGCTGCAAAAAACAGGAAAACAGGCATCTATTTTCCAGTTAGGCAAACAGTGATTAGTGCAGGGAGATCAACCACAGCATCCTTTGTTCTTCATGTCACAAGAAACAGAATAAGAGTAAGTGGGGCTCCAGATCTGACCTGAAATTGTTCTGAAACTACTGGGGGGGTGGTTCTTTGCAGTCAAGTAATTGCTGAAGCCACCAGATACGTTAGCCATGGGCAAGTAAGGTTTGACGGGTATCGGAACTGTGATGGTGTCTTTTTCATAGAATCATAGAACAGTTTGGATTGAAGGGATCTCTAAAGGTCATCTAGTCCAACGGGACATCTTCAGCTAGATCAGGTTGCTCAGAGCCCTGTCCAACCTGACCTTGAATGTTTCCAGGGATGGGGCATCTACAGCCTCTCTGGGCAACCTGTTCCAGTGCTTCACCACCCTCATTGTAAAAAATTTCTTCCTTACATCCATCTAGATATTGGTACTACAGACATACAGAAGAGGAAGCTAACGGAGGCCATTTTATCTGGAGATACCAGCAAGCTGATGAAGATCCTCCAGCCTCAAGATGTTGATATTGTTTTAGATGGGAACTCCAGTCTCTTGCACTTGGCCGTTGAAGCTGGTCAAGAAGAATGTGTCAAATGGCTCCTTCTGTACAATGCTAACCCTAACCTCACCAACAAGAAAGGATCCACCCCTCTTCACATAGCCATTGAGAAGAAAGTTAAAAGCATTGTGGAGCTGATTATGGCTAGGAAAATCAATGTTAATGCCAAAGATGAAGATCAGTGGACTGCTCTTCACTTTGCTGCCCAAAATGGGGATGATTTCAGCACCAAAATGCTGCTTGATAAGAATGCATCCTTAAATGAGGTAGATTTTGAAGGCAGAGCCCCCATCCACGTAGCCTGTCAGTATGGCCAAGAGAATATTGTGCGGATCCTGCTGAGAAGAGGCGTTAATGTGAACATCAAAGGAAAGGATGACTGGGTGCCACTGCACTATGCTGCCTGGCAAGGTCATCTCCCCATTGTAAAGCTGCTGGCCAAACAGCGGGGTGCAAACGTGAATGTGCAGACCATGGATGGAAGGACCTCGCTACACTTGGCCGCTCAACGAGGGCACTACCGTGTCGCTCGCCTTCTCATAGACCTGGAGTCGGATGTCAACATACAGAACGCGCTGTTGCAGACTGCTCTTCACATAGCTGCTGAAACTGGCCACACAAGCACGTCGAGGCTGCTCCTTAAACATGGTGCAGACATTGAGGCAGCAACAGCAGAAGGATACACCGCTCTGCACTTGGCATCTCGCAGCGGCCATTTAGCAACAACGAAGTTGCTGATAGATGAAAGGGCCAGCGTTCTAGCCAGAGGCCCTTTAAGTAGGACAGCGTTACATCTTGCTGCAGAAAATGGGCACTCTGAAGTAGTAGAAGAACTTGTCAGTTCAGAAAATATCAATGTTTCTGACAGTGAAGGGTTGACAGCTCTTCATCTGGCTGCACAAGGAGGGCACGCAAAAACAGTTGAGGTTCTTCTGAAGCATGGGGCGTACACTGACATGCAAAGACCCACATGTCAGACCCTGCTACAGCTTGCTCAGCAGAGCAGTAATAGCTCGGTTACCGTGTTGTTAAGTGAGACTTAAGCAAAAGGTACAGAACTTGCTACCTTTCTACCTGGTGCGAGAAGGCTGCTGGAGCTTGACTCATGAGGGCCTTCTCCAGTGGTGCAGTGACCCGCTTATCAGCGGTGTCAGCTGATGGACTGAGGCGCAACCAGCAGAAGCTACTTGTGTTTGAGTGTGCGAGTGAGAGCACACATGGACGAAGGCCAGATGTAAGGCTAAGAGCTGGAGTCTGCCATGCCGTGGTCTGTATCAGTCACGCTGCGTGTGCCTGCCCTGTCTGTATATTGACATTCCCCTCCCAAGGATGTTGTGAGAGGAGGATGCAACTTGCGGGTTTCCCCCCCTGCTTTTTTTTTTTTTTATGTGGCAAACTAATTTAAGAACTAACATTCTGCTTTTTTATTTTCCTCAAAAAAAAAAAAGGATGGTGTAGATTTCTGGTTTATTGCAGTGATCTATATTTTGGGCTGAAAGCCTGCAGTGTAAAATAAACAACACAAATCTACTTGAAATTAATGCAAGAGATGAGAAAAGGGCTATTTAAGATATAGTTAATGATTGTTTCAGTGTCAGAAGGTACTCTGTTTAATGGAGACATTGATTACAGATTTCCATGTACTCAAAATTGATGAGGCAGACTTATTAACAAGGCAGGATCCCAAAAATACATAAGCAGAAGTAAAAGGTTAACTCTGGTATCTTCATATATACAGTACCACCTTGTAGGTATTCCAAGATCAGTAAGCTGAACTAGGTGCTTAGTGGTTTGTCTTAAACAAAAAAGTCAAAAGCTAAAATTCATACTGGACTGTAACTGGATGGTATATTCTAACAGCATTATACCAATTTGCGAAACAACGTTTGGAGGGGCTGATGACTAGACTAATATACTGTGTATATAGTATTTCTACCTGTTGTATGCTTTTTTCTACTGAAGAAAATAGATTGCTTAGAGTGGGTATGTTTTAATACACCTTTTAATTTCACTCTTTTCAAAGTTCAAATGTGATCTGTTATTAATAAAAGACTGTGTTCCGTATCTGTCTCTATTTGGTAGTTGTTAAAACAACTGAAAACCCATTGCCCAGCAGCAGCACACAACTGTAATGTGTTTAACGATGTTGAAGCCCAAACTGTTGACATGTAAGGCTGTCCTCAGTTTTACATTCCCTTTAGCTTTTATATGGAAGGCAAGGAGGTTGAATGAATTGGAGGTGTTATTCGCAGAATAAATTTAGAGAATAAAACCACACATAACTTAGCCTTTATGTGTGTAACACATGTACAACTGGGATGCTTTCCTCTTTCGCTGTAGCTGTCCAGGCAGTTTAGTTTTCTTCCCCACCTTGAAGCCAAGTCAAATGCTTTTGCATCTTCCCTGTTGACTGGTAGGCGACTGCCCAGACAGGTACCTCACCTCTCCTTGGTGTTGTGTACCCACCATGCGTGCCACAGAGCATGCGGCAGTGATGTGCTTTGCTCCCACCTCCCCTGACATGAAAGCCGCTCCTGCTTGAGACCTTTTTTGCGCATACCTGATGGCAGTGATATGAATGCCAGTGCTACCTCAGTGTCTGATTTTAGGAGTCAAGGTGCTCCTGTGGGAATCTAGCCCCATGAAAGTCAATACTTTCTTAAAAACCAGCCTCCTGTCATTGGTAGGCTCATATGAGCCTACCGTCTCATACCTGGAGATGGTAGTGGCTGAGGGCGATAACCAAAGAAGGATGGGCCCTTGCAGAAGGGGCAGGGAGCCTGCTGCGGTTTGATACAGTTCCTGTACCTCTGTGTACCTGGTGCAACTCCCCTAGTACAATTTCTTGAATTTCAAGACAGCTCACTGACTGCCTAATGAAACTGTGTTAAAGAACAGATGGTGAAGCCATGCGCATGCCAATATATGGAGGTTACAAAGCAATGTACCTCTTACTGGAGCATGGCGGTCACACCAAGCTTCCTAAAGGTGCTGACACTGAAACTTCTCATTAAACAAACAAAACTGTAATTTTCTTATGGCTTCCTTCAACTTCTTTTGAGACCAGTAACGTTGCCATGTTTCATTAAGCTGTGCTTAATCAGTCTCTCTTTATAGCAAATTCAACCACAGACCACTTTTGGTCTCTCAAGTCCTGTGACTATGATTAAACACTTGGCTTAGCTTAGTACACACCATACCCTTCCATTTCGAAGTTCTCCAAACAGTGAGATTTGAGGTACTTTAATTCCAGCAGTATTTGCCTGAACTGCAAAAGAGCTGTAAGACCAGGTAACAGCAGTCTTGTGCCTCCTAACAAAGGTGGTGCATGCCAGCTAGGCAAGGGGAAAGTACACTTATACAATGCTTTTAGAACAGCTCAAGCACTGCTTCGCCAGTACATTCCTTCAGTGCCTAATAGCACATTAGCCTCTAATTAAACATGAGGCCACACTTATGAGTCTTTATTTTCCATGCCGTCTTTCACAATAACAGGCACCAGCTATGCATTACGTATAGAAGGCAACACAGCTGGCACTGGAAAAAAAAACAATGAAGGGATTGCAATGACATGCTGCCAGTATTGGAGTGGGTATTTGTCCCTGTGAACCGCCTTCCTTGGGGGCAGGAGGGGTGGTGAATGGGGGTGCTAAATTAGCACTAAGGCAGCAATTACGAATTACTGTTTTGTAAAGGTCTCCTGCGGGTGACTTTCCTGGTCATATGTGCACTCCTCTGACTTAGCTGAAGTCCTAACTGGCTGCTGCCCTAAAGCTTACAGGCATTTCTTTGCCTCTTTCCAACTTCAGCCACATTCTTTAAAAAACAACAAACGAACGAAACGAAAAATACACAGAATGACCTAATGGCAATATCGGGCTTTGTTGCTACTTACCTACAAAAAAAAACCAACCCCAAAACCTCTGCCAAAAGAAAAAAGAAATCCCCAGACCCTACCATAAATGCACAGTCGGTATCATTTGACTCCTTTTCCCTAGTTGAGTTGGCAGGTTGAACTCAGCTGCCCCAAGTCTGAAAGGAAATCTGTTCCCCTCACCACTTTCTGCCAGCTTCCCTCCCTGGACTTCAGCTCACGCCCTGAAGCAAGCCAAGGCAACGGCGTGAACCAGCTCCTAAGCCGTGGGCTCTGCCACTCACCCGCCAGCTCCAGCCCTCATGCAAACACCTAAAATGTGCACAAAACCCCGCACACTCGGGAAGCGGGTTTGAGAGGTGGTGTGAAGGCATGGAGGGCGCTACAGAACCGAGTCTTGCTCCAGGTCCCCCATGCTGCCTAACTGCTCCCTGGCAGCAGAAAGGGCTGCAAGATGAACACGAGCTCCTCTTGCTCGCCTCCAAAATCAGGTAGAGGTTGTTTGCAGCGTTTCTGCGTACACCGTGCTCGCCTGCTTCCTTATGGCTTCTGACCGTGGCCTCCTGGGGCCCCGTTACTCCTTCAGCCCAAGGAGTAACAAACGTAGGAAAAAAAAAGATACAGTGAAATGGTGTTAGTGACCATAAGCTTCACCTTTTCATCTCTAGATGCGATTTTTCAACCTGGCCTCTGCCTGCATACCTGCGGTAGTGTAGTCTGGGTTTCTGCCAGCACCCGCTGGTGCTGGCTCCCCGTGCAGGAGCCCCAGCAACAGGGAAGGTGCCTCGCACCATCCCCATTCCTTGCTCCTCCATCCCAGCCTCTGCCTCTGGGGGATAGTGCAGCCCCTGATGCATCACCTGTCTTCGCAAGTTTGTTCCCAGCACCCAGTAGCTTTATTTACCTGCTACTTAGCAGCACAAGGTGCTGCAGAGCCATGTTTCTACAGGCCTCGAGAGGACTCGACAAGCCTGCGGTTCAAACATGCTCGGCGGTGGCAGCGAGGGGAGAGAATTGCTGGGTGATTGCAAAGAGGCCGGGAGGCAAACCTCAGCCCTTTCATTCCTGCCTCCTCTCTTGCACCACCTTGGCTCTGCACAACAGGGTTGCAAGAAAAACAAGGCATGTGGGAGCTGCTCTACAAGGTCTCCTTTAGCAAAAGAGGTCTGAGGGGGGAGATATCTGCTCTCCTCCACACTCCTTTAACCCCAGCTGGGTGGCATAACATGCAGACCGGCTCACAGGTGTCCCCCAAAACGCAGGCAAAGCCTTTGGGTGCCGGAAGCAGCTCTGCTGCTGGGGTGCAAACCTGCGTTACCTCCCCAGCTGCCCCTGGGCCCAGCTGCTGATCGGATCCCATCGTTCCTGCACCCTGGGGAGGGGGCGTCCAGCCTTTCCCCTTCCCTCCCCGTCTCAGACAGGGAGGACTTTCTTCAAGCAGCATTGACTTTGAAGGAGACCCACACAGGCAAGGAACAGTGCCGGGCTTCTTTACACATGAGTCCTGGGGCCAGGGTTTTGAAATAAGATGTCAGCTGCGCTTAGCCTGTCCTGTTCTTTGGCCAAAACTGCCCTCACGTGCGCCCAGGTCTCTGCATGAAGCCTTCGACTGCTTTTGCAACACCGGTTTGGTATTGCGGAGGGATGGATCATGCACGGCCCCGCTCCACTCCCTCCCCTCTGCCTGCTTTTGGGACGCACTTTAACTCGGGGGCTGTGGCAAAACGCTGAATACCGGCACTCCTATCACGGACCCGAGCCAGGGAGAGATTCACAACCCAAAGCGAGTGCTGATTAGACAGAGCGTAACAGCACAGGAAGGCCTTTCAACAGGGGAGGTGGCAGAAGGCAGATCCCAACACGTTGGGCGATCCCAACAGGTTGGGCTGCTGCGGTCGCTCAGCGGCTGGGCGTCACGGCCTGCCGGCAGTGAGACGCAGGGCTGAGGGGCAGCAGGGAGGGGAGGCTGTGCTGGCGGGGAGGCAGGCACGACACCCAGCCGGGCTGGGAAGCCCTCGCTGCTGCACTGGGGAAGTCCTGAGCTTGTAGGGAATCACGCCGCAGGCACTTGAGCAAAAACAGGGTTTAAAATCACTGCTGCCACCACCTTATTTACCTTGTGTTTTTGAAATGCTGTGGGAGAGGCTTTCAGGCTTTTCTCTGCAGTTACGTAGAGCAAAGACCATATGAAAGCTAATAAAGAGTAACTCGTGATCTGCACAGAAGCACCTGGCTCTGAGAGGTTCGAGTAGAAACATGCAGAAGCCCAAGATAGATACTACAGCTGTGGCAATGACAAGGGGAAAGATGCTCCACACTTTTCCCTGGAAGAGCAGGCAAGAGCCCATTTGCAGGCACTGCTCCCTGGGGCAGGCTCTGCCCCCCCCGCAGCGAGTAACCCTTGACCGACGCAGGACATGGGCTGCAGACTCACAACACG